GGGGAGTCCGGCAAGGCTGGAGACCCCAGAGCTGGGGAGCCCGTCACAGGGTTACACGCACCCCCTGCTCTGGGTCTGGGGTACTGCCTGGGGGCAGGATGGCCTCAGTCCAGAGTGAGAGTGGGCAGCCGGCTGGCTGTGGGGTCCGACTCATGCACCCGGGAGGAGGGGGCCACCTGGGAAGGGGGGCTGGATGCAGAACCACTGCGGGCGGAGGGGGAGTGGGCCGCGGTCAGGGAGGGGGCATAGTCTGGGGGCTCCGGCGTGTGGCGCAGTGGTTCTCAGAGGTCCCCGGCCCGCCGGCAGCGTCACCGGAGCAGCGGGAATGCAGGTCTCTGGGCCCAGCCCCGCAGAGTCAGATACTCTGGGGCAGCCAGGATGTCCAGTGTGGCCCATCTGGACCCAGTAAGGTCACAGTCCCAGGTTCTGGGAGGACGGGGTGGCGGTGGGGACCGGTCCAGTACAGGTTGCAAGGGTGGAACTGGGTGGGGGATGGACTGGGACAGGTCACCCGGCATCCTCTGTCACCCTGTCTCCAGTAGCCCGAGGTGGTGGCCCCTGTCAGAGGGAGCCGTGGGGCGCCGCCCCCTCCCCGCCTGCCCGCTGGGCCCCTGTGGGGGTGTGGGGGCAGGGGGCTCAGGCACCTGGGGCTTCACCCCTCCACTCACTCACCCAGGGGGCCTGACTGCCCGGCCGGCCCTGAGAGTCTCCCACAGAATCAGCCCTCGTGACGCGCCGGGAGGCTTTCTTCTCTATTAAATGCACTCTTCTTGATTCAATTTTATTTTAGGGTTGGCACAGCACAGTCTTTCTCTCTATGTGTGAATGTATGTATGTAAATACACGTACGATGTTGGTGAATTAACGTTTGTGGTATTTTTACCAAGCGAATACATGGAAGCCAAACAGTGGCCCCTGCAGGGGTGGCATGTGAGTGGGGCCAGCGGTGCAGCACGCCCTCCTCTCCGGCAGCCTGCCCACCACGGGAGGGTCCCCTGGGGGTGGGGGCTGAGGCCCTGTTCCTGGGCTCGCAGGACCACGCCCCACTGTGCTGGCCTGGAGGACCCGCCGCAGAGTGGCTGGGCTTGACGCCGGGCGCTCACGGACGGTCTGCAGGTAGTGACCAGGCTCTCGCCGGCCAACGGGCCAGGCCCCACAAGCGAGGCGTAGATGCTGCCCAGACGTGCTGTGTCCGGCAGAACCCCTGCTCCAGCAGCAGACCTGCCTCACCCGGAGAAGGCGAGGGTGGGGAAGGGGGCTGGGGGTGTGCTGACTTTGTTTACAGGGGTTTGGCCAGAAATGGAAGGGAGCATCAGTCTTGATGGGCTTTTTATTTTTATTTCGAACATTTTATTTATTTCGGAGAGCAGGTGCACACGCACAGGAGCAGAGGGAGCGGGAGAGGGAGAAGCAGGTTCCCCGCTGAGCGGGGGAGCCCGATGCGGGATTCCATCCTGGGACCCCGGGATCACAACCTGAGCTGAGGGCAGATGCTTCACCAATGGAGCCACTCTGGCGTCCCTTGATGGGCCTTTTGGATGCGCCCCCCACGGGGGAGGCTGCTGTGGTCCAGCCACGTGTCCAGTGGGGACGGAGGACTGGGGGGGGGGTGGCACCCACGTGTTTACACATGTGTTGCTGGGGCTCCAAACAACGACCCGCTAGCCCGACACGGGGGGATTTCAGCCGAGTCCTGCAAGGGGGGCTGCATCACGAACGCACGCTCTCGCTGCTGCTGTAGGAGCCCTCAGACTCGCTGCTTTAACCAACATGAAATCTCATGCATGTTTTCCTGCAACTCCATCCCAGGCGCCACCTCGTCTAATCCAGCCACCTGCACTTGGCTGTCGCTCTGAAAGCTCTAACCACGCCTCCTCAGCGACCGTCCGTGGCAGTGTCTCTAGTGGCCACGCTGTGCCACCCGTCTCTCAGTTCAGAGCCATTTGGGCTCCACATCCACCCACACCTGATTGACACCAGTAACTGTTGGGAACAGGGAGACGTGTCGCTAGTGGGCAGCAGAGGACGTCCCGCCTTCCTGGGGAGGGGCCTGGCGGGGGTGTGCGCCTGCCCTAAGCCCCCCTCGTTCAGCCTAATAGCGCTGGGCCCTGAGCCAGACCCTCGATGCTGGGCTTCAGGTCGTCCTGGCCCCTTCCAGTGGTCTTCCCTGAGCTCACTTGCCGTGGCCCCAGCCGCCTGCAGTGAGAGTCTTTGTGGGAAGCCCCTGAGGCCCCTGTGAGGCCGAGAAACTTCTTCCAGGCCCAGGGCCTGGCCATCCCTCCCCAGAGCCACAGGTCTGAGGGTGCCTGACGTGCCCCTCGCACCCTTTGGCACGCCCCGTGTGTGCGACCGGCTGGCTAGCTGCTCTCCTAGGTCCAGTTCGCTCGTTTTGCTCGTGAACATGCCCACGGGTCAGCCTCTTACTGGAAGGCGCTGGGGTGCGGGCCCTCATGGGGCTGCAGACGCCAACAGGCCTGCCCGTCGTCTGTCCACGGCGCCCCCCCCAAGTCCAGGAGCCCCTGGGTCCCCTCACCTGACCCTCTCCGTGGCTCCATTCTCAGCCCGCACGACATACTCCTTTTTCAGCATCCCAGCTCATGGGCAGGAGTGCCCTGCACACCCACGGACCGGGCCTTCCTGGACTCGTGCACGAATGTGTCCAAAGGCCCCTGTGGACAGCACCTGCTCACTTGCCAGCCGCGTACCCAGGTCCTGGGTGGGGGGTGCCACAGTGTGGGATGTGCGGGAGCCACACGCACTTGGGCCCTGTGACCATGGCAGGCGCCTCGTCAACACCACGTGGTTGTTCAGAAGCCCCCACGCTGGGGCAGGGTGGGAGGGAGATGGGCCTCCCTCTGGGTGACAGAAACGTCCTGGAAACAGACGCTAATACTTGTTGCACAGCCTGGTGAGCGCGCTCACTGCCCGACTGCGTTTCTGGCTTGTTATGTGAACTTCAATTCCGTTGAAAAACTCAGTCCCCAAAGAATCATCTGGGCGGGAAGTCCAGAGCAGGCCCACTGCCTGACAGGGAGGCGGGGGTCCCTGGGGTGCTTCGGGCCGTGGGGAGGAGTAACTGATGAGAAAGGGCCAGGGGGGCCTGGGGAGTGCAGTGCAGGCACGAGCATGAAGACGCTGGAAACCACTGGGGACCGTAAATGGGGCAGTTGTACAGCACGCAAGTTATCGCTGGATGGAATGGCCATTGCTGCAAACCAAACCACCACAAGGAACATTCTGGGAAGAGCTGTGGCATTCCCCCAGAGCCAAGCTCCGCTGCTGTGTGGTTCTGGGCATGCTGAGAAGGCCCCGTCAGCAAGAGCACCTCTCCTCCCCGGGCCAGGCCATCCAGCTGGGCCTTGTCTGTCCATCTGTGTTCGGGCTGTCTCAGCCTCAGGACCTCGCCGCATGGTGACGGCCACCGGCCTTGCAGGGCCAGGAGAACACCGTGTGGGGCGCTTTGAGCAGAAGGTCAGGGGGACATGGGGACCCACCCAAAGGCCCCTGTGCACCAGGGCTGTGGCCGAGAGGCTGGGCAGGGTGTAGCAGAAGCAGCTCCTCCAGGGCTCCCGGGAGCCCCGGCACCTGGGGAAGGGGTCCCCACCAACAGTGACCACTCGTCAGCTGAGGAGTCATTGAGGACAGTCTGCCCCTCTCAGGGATGGGCCGTGGCACACTGGCTGCTCCAGGGCTGGGAAGCAGTGCCCTGGGGCCAGGCCAGCAGGCAGGTGGGAGGCTCAGCCACCCCGCCTCTAACCATTAGAGGACGAGGAGGAGGAGGGTCCCCTGGGGTCCGGAGCTGGAGCCTCTGGGACCACTCTGGGTGGGGAGGTCGTCCTGCCGGCAGGTGCACCACCACCCACCCTGGGGTGTGGCACCATCAGGCTGGGCCACTGGCACGTGTATGTGTGTGGAAGAGTCGCCCATGTCAGGCCTGAGCTTAGGGACTTCGGGCCCACACGTGAGGTCAGTGGTGCCAGAGTCTTGCCGGGGGGGGGGGGGGAGCTGAGTCACACAGAAGCGTGACCTCCCGGGGCCATGGCTCCCCAGGAAGGGCCGTGCTTGGGCTCCATGTGGCAGTCACCCCCAGTTAAGAGCCAGTGGGAGATGGGCTTCTCCCAGCGCAGAGCCCGTGGGAAGCGGACATGCTTTCTCTCTAGAGACCATGATTCATGCTGACTTGGGGAAACCTCTCAAACTCTGAGCTGATCTCCTCCACGCGTACAGGAGTGATACCAGCTTCCAGAAGGTGCCAGGTGATGGCCAAGACCATGCCTTGCAGCGAGTGCTGAGGGTCAGGTGGCCGTGGGCCAGCCACCGTGAATCCAGCCCCGTCACCCTGGCTTCCCTTCCCAGAGCCCAGAAGGTGCCGTGTGATGGGATGAGGGAGGAGGGCACGGCAAGGGGGTAGAGGCAGCCACGGGGTTGGCGCTGTCTCGGGAGGGGAGTCTGGCTCTGACACGGTCTCCAGCGCAGCCCGCCGATGCCCTCACTGGGCCCGGTGCCAGGCCTGGAGCTGGGGTTCCTTATGCCCTCGGACCTGGTCCTGGCATCAGGCCTGGCCTGTTCGGGCTCTGGCGCCCGGCCGGCAGGTTGCTCACCCCCATTTGTGGCTGGGCACAGGTGTCCCCCAACTCTTCCTTCCCGGGCAGACCAGCATTGATCAAGCTCCTGCTTGTGTCGGAGGCTCAGAGATGAGATGGCCATGCGTTTTGTCCTCCAGGCTACGGACACGACACGGGGAAGGAGGGAGGCTCCTTACCGCGGGAGCCGGTGCTCGCTCGCCCGGGGTTGAAGGCTCTCCTTTGGGCACAGACATCTGTCCGAGGCCAGGTCCCGCCCTCGCTGTGAGGGGCCCTGTGCCTGGAGGCATTGGCAGACCCTCGGCCGGCTGCTGGGTGGGCAGTATGTTGGCTGAATGACTACAGGAGACTCGGAGGCCACTGGCCCTCCGCCTTCCTTCTGGAGCCCTTACCGCCCTCCCTGCCTCCCCCTGCCAGGACCTCCCACTCCAGGGCCAAGGCCGAGGCCGCCCTCACCGCAGCACAGAAGGCTCAGGAGGAGGCACGCATCGCCAGGATCACTGCCAAAGAGTTCTCGCCTTCCTTCCAGCACCGGGAAAATGGTGAGTGCACGTCCCACAAGGGGCATCCGTGGCACCGCAGCACACGCCTCCCTCAGACGTGCATGTCGGGGTGCGAGGCTTCGGCGTCACCCGCCCCTGCATCCCTGTGCACCGCCATCTGTGCACCACGCCTGCTTTCCATGGAGGTCACTGTCCGTGTCCTGTCCCTGCCCTTCCTGCTCCGGCCATTCTTCTGTAGCCACTCTGCCCACCCGGTGGCTCTCAGCCATGCAGAAGCTGCTAGGACAGCTGAGGAACTAGGGCTTCGGTCGTCATGAAATGTGGATCGCCACATGGGACTGGGGTGCTGGCCGAGGTGGTCGACGCAGCTCTAGAGCAGGGGGAGCTCTGGGCCCCTCTTCCGGCAGGTGCTAGAAGCCCGTGCATGTCAGCCGGCTGTATGCCCCTCTTCCATCACGAGGGGTTAACAAGGGCACAGCCGCATGCAGCCCGGTGAGCCCACAGCTTGGGGCCAAGAGGTCGCCTGGAGCCTCTGGGGTGAGTGATGACCAGAGGCTGCAGAGGCCCTTAGGGTGGACCAGCCGCAGCCCATATCTCTCCACCTTTGGAACCCCCGAACCACAGAAGGTTAGGACTAGAGAGCAAGAAACCACTCAAGGTTTTAGGGCCATGTGCCAGTCTGTTCTGAGATCACCCCAAGCTCTCCTGCAGCTCGTGGCTCTAGGCCTCGCGGGTAGAGGTTCTGGCCTCCGGGGCAGCCAAGAGGCCAGGCCTGTTTCTGGGAGGCAGGAGGACCCGAGTGGCCTTGGCAACCCCAGGACTATTGCAAGACAGGGGACGCCAATGTTGGGAGTCCAGCCACTGATACTGCATGTTCTGCCCTGATTCTGACAGTGATACTTCCAGGAACGACTTGTGCTCTGGAACTAATCTCAGCTGAGAATAATCTCCCGGCTGGTGGCCTGGGCAGTGGAGGTGCTGGAGCCGCACAAGAGGGCACAACTCCCTCTGCTGTGCGGAGTCCACAGGCCAGCTGGACCTGCAGCCTCCTGGTCTTGCCACAGGGCATGGCGTCCTGGGCATCCTGGGCGCCCTGGCCCTTGGAAGTCCCAAGCACAACAGGCAGGGGTGTGATCACTGGCCCCCTAGGAACCCCAGTGCGGGAACCAGCCCTCGGTGTGGAGCTTCAGACCCTGTGCTTGAAGGGGTGCACTGCGCCCCCAGACACACAGCCTCCCCGGGACCAGGTGGGGCCTCCTGTGGCACCAACAGCCACGGTGACTACTCAGGTGTCTGAAGCTCTGCCTTGTACTGCTCCCTGCCCCATCTCAATATCCCAGAGGCAGGAGCAGGAGCCTTGTTGGTGTGTGTGGCCGATGGCATGGTGCACCTCTCCTCCCTCATAGACGGAGGGGCCGGGGCCCAGCCCTTGCCAGGCTGGGGGGCCATGTCTCCCGTGGCCCTTGCTGCCGCAGCTCAGAGGCTCCAGCATGGGGGTGGAGAGGGGACAGCACGCTGCACCCAGGGAGGCCATGAGACCCTGGAGAAGGCCTCCTTACCAAGAGGCTTCCTTCACCTTCTGGAGGGACCTGGAGTACGGGTGGGCTGTGGGAGCACAGAGCAGGCTGGCCGTGCACTTGCACACTGAGCCTTGGGTCTTGGGTGTAGCCAGGGGGGTGGACTGGAGCCTCCGTCCACCACTGCACCGTGGGACCTACCGACTAAGTGCCCGCCAGGTGGGGGGCCTGTGGTTCTATGAAAGGGCTTTGGGCACCATGGCGAGGGCCCTCGCCCCATCCTGCTCTCCTGCGGTCCTCTGGTGAGGTCAGGCCTCACGAGACACGGAGGGTGAGTAACCCCACCCGTGTGTGCTTCCCGCCCCTCCATAAAGGGCTCGAGTACCAGCGGCCGAAGCACCCGATCTCCAGCAGTGATGTCGAGGTGGCCTCCACGGGGACGCCCTTGCAGCAGGAGAGCCCCGAGCTGTACCGCAAAGGCACCACCCCCTCGGACCTGACCCCCGACGACAGCCCCCTGCAGAGCTTCCCCGCCAGCCCCACGGCCACCCCGCCCCCGGCCCCTGCCTCACGGAACAAGGTTGCCCACTTCTCCCGGCAGGTGTCCGTGGATGAGGAGCGAGGCGGGGACATCCAGATGCTCCTGGAGGGCCGGGGAGGGGACTATCCCCGCAATAGCTGGGGTGAGGAGAAAGCCGGAGGCTCCAGGGGCATCCGCGGCGGTGCCCTCCGCAGCAGTCAGCCTGCGGACGACTTCCGCTCCCGAGGCTCGGGCCACAAGCAGCCCAGCAACCCCAAGTCCCGGGAACGGCGGACGGAATCACCCCCCACGTTCTCCTGGACTTCCCACCACCGGGCCGGCAACCCCGGCTCTGGGGGTGCCAAGCTGCTGGAGCTGGACGAGGAGAAGCTGAGCAACTATGAGATGGAGATGAAGCCGCTGCTGAGGATGGACTCGTACGTGCAGGAGGTGCACCCCCAGAAGAGACGCTACAGCAAGGGGGCGGCCTGCCGGGGCTTGGGGGAGGACCACCGCGCCGACGATCGGGGCTTTGGGACCCAGAGACTGCGGTCCAAGTCCCAGAACAAGGACAGTGCCAGGCTGGGCCCCTGCGCGGAGCCCGCGGTGCAGAGGTTGGAGAGCCTGCGGCTGGGGGACCGGGCTGAGCCACGCCTGCTACGCTGGGACTTGGCCTTCTCCCCGCCCCAGAAGTCCTCACCTGTGGCACTGGAGTCGGACGAGGAGAACGGGGACGAGCTCAAGTCCAGCACGGTGAGCGTCACCGGCCACTGGCGGTGGGGGGAGGGACCCTCCCCAGAGGAAGCCTGGGTGGGCCACAGGGTATGCACTTGGGCGGTTCTAGAAGCTCCCAAAAGAAACAGGGCTGTAGCGGGACTCCACTGCCCCTGAGGGTCCTCCCCTGCCCTGGCAAGGAGCCCTTGCTATCACTGGGTTTGAGGACGGTCCCAGGTCCTGGAGAACACAGAGACCTGGCCAAAGCAGCTGGGGCATTGGGCTGCACCCTGGCTCAGGACTGCTTTGTCCAGACCACACCTCTCACCTCTCTGCTTTGTCCAGACCTTCCCTTGGGGGCCAGGCGCTGGGGTCCTCCCACGATGCCCACTCTCATGGGCAAGGCCATCCATGCCAAGGCTTCCCGCCCCACGAGAGCTGCAGTCTTCACAAGTAGCCTGAGAATACAGCCTCTCTGGCTCACCTGCCTTTGGGATCTGACACTCAGGATGGGGTCATGATCTAGATCACCACGTCCAGCGGGGGACACCAGGGCTTGCTCACGGTCCTTGTACGCCTCCAATGGCAGGCAGCATAGAGGATAGAACGTTGGCTCCTGGGCTGGACTGTGTTGGGCCGGGTGGGTTCTCACACAGGAGGGACCTTCTGGGACCCTTCCCCTGGAGGCTTCCACCCAGGGGCAGACCTGTCCTGCTCCCCTGGCCACAGCTTCTCAGACCCACCTGGGCCAGCTGGGACCTGCATCAGCCCACGAGGGCCTGTTCACCTGCTGGTGGAGGGCCACACGCCTGCCCCATGGGGATGCAGAGCCTTGGACACATCTGGGACCCAGCAGAGCTGCCAGGCGGAGTCAGTGTCCAAGCCTGTGCCTAGGAGTGGCACCATCTGGCACGTCAGGGCCCTGTGCTCCTTGAAGGGAAGCTTTCTGGGGTCAGGTGCCTCTGTCCTGTTGGTGGGCTGGTTCCTTGGTGTTTCTGCCTCCCCGTGCCCAAATGCCACCACAGAGCAGCCCCGAGTGCATCTGCTGGGCCAGATGAGCTGGCACCCAGAGCTCCAGCCACTGACCCAGCAGCCAGAAATGTCTGCACACATTTGTATGTGGTATGTGTGCCCATGTGTACACACATGTGCACAGTGCATGTGAGGTTATTTTAGGAAGCTGGATGAGGGACAGGGGTGGGAGAGGACCATGTTGGTGCTGGAAGATGAAGCGCCCTGGGGGAGAGGCACAAGCAGGTGGCTGGCCTCCAGCTGGGCTCTGCTGGTGCCCCTCGTCCAGCACATGGCCTCTGCACTCCTCAGCACTGAGGTCCCAGGGACAGCCAGCCCCAGGAAGGGAGGCTGTGGCCCGGGCGCCATGCTCCAGGGGCAGGAAAGGCCGGGCATTCTGGGTGGGCCACGTGGGAAATCCCGGGGACAGTCATCTTTCATTCTAGCTGCAGAGCTGGGGACGTTTCATTGAGGCCACCTGGCACATGGGGAGGGAAGATGTACAGGGGCTGCCCGGACCAGTCACTGCAGCCTGAGGAGGAGGACCCTCTCCCGCCCTTGGGCCACCACAGCACCTGCTTGGGAGAGGGGCGGGGAAGGGGCAGGCCGGGTGTGGGCTCAACTCTCCTGTCCTCCTCCTGTTGCAGGGCTCGGCTCCCATCCTGGTGGCCATGGTGATCTTGCTCAACATCGGAGTCGCCATTTTGTTTATTAACTTTTTCATCTGATGAGATGTCGCGTTAGCAAAAACAACGACTGGTGTACAAAAGGGACCTTAACACACAACAAAAGGGAAGGATCGTAACTCGGACAGCCCGACAACCACTTCCGAGTCTTTTCACAGAACAACATGATTGGGTATTACTCACAGTTTGCCTTTTTTTCTGGGTAATGTTTTTTGGATTTTAGCCAAAATTCTTTGCTTGTATAACACGATGCTGTGTGGCATGGCAGAAGGAGGCCAGCACGCCGACCCTCCAGCTTGGTGTGGAAAGGAAAGGGATCCCAGCAAATCAATGGCCGAAAACTAAAGCGGCCACGGTCCTCGCCGCCATCACAGCCGGCCTGGGACTGGAAGAGGAGGCAGTGGAGGAAGGCCCCCGCCTGTCCAGCTGTGCCCGGCCGATGGGGAAGCAGCTGCTGTCAGGCTGAGCACAGGAAGTCGGCTACCTCTGCTTTTCCTTTGGGTCCTGGCAGAGTGAGCGGGTGACCGTATGGGCGTGCAGCAGGGGGGAGAGGGAGTGCCATCCCCGTTGGCAGCAGCCTGGGCGTCTATTCGGAGTATGTGATGTGTACTTGAGGAAGCAGGGACCTGCTGCCTCTTCTCTTCCCCCTGAAACACCACATCCTGCCCTCTGCTCCCTCTGGCCTTGGAGGTGAGGCTAGCTCCCCACAGAGTCTGAAAGGAAGGTCCTTCTGCTCCCCGGGTCTGCCCCCACACCCACGCCTACCATCCTTCCCCCCAACCCCTCCCCCATCCCCAGGAAGCAGGGCTGCAGACAGGACCGAGGGCGGAGAGTGGCGTGGGGCCACTTAGCCCTCAGGCTGGCCCCAAGTGTGCCATTTGTACACTTGGCATGCAGCAGGTGTATCCAGGTCCCCTTGCCCCGTCCAACATCTATGGCAGTGACCTGGCCCTCCGTGCCATCCTCTCTCACGGTCACTCAGCACACGGTCCCCGCAGCTCTGTCCTGTGTGGGCCTCCCCTCCCCCTCCCGATGTGCACACTGTCTAGATGCCTCACTCGTACCCTGGAGCTGAACTGGTCCCAGGACAGGAATGTGAACGAAAATTCCTAAGCAGTCGTAGCTTCTCCCTCTCACCCGAATACACGTGGTTGAGTTTGGGTCTATATCCTCTACCACTGTTGCTCCATCATCCAAATGAAAGAAAAAGGTTCCAGGAGGTTTGGGCGCCCCATGGTCCTAGCGCTGGAGCCAGCCCCAGCCCGTGGGTATGGACGTGTCTATGGGGCATGGCCACGTCCATACGCAGGCCTCTGCGCTCACACCTGGGACGGCCCTCACCGGGAGCTTCCACAGCCGTCCTGGGCCCGGCCCGGCTATGGACTCTGCCTTGCTTTGCTTATGTTCAGCTGTTTCTCTGCTACCTTTCAAGCAGATTTCTTTACTACACTGCACTGGATTGCTATATTTTTAACCAGAAATAAACTAAAGATTAGAGCATGTTCCAGTTAAAGCCAGTTTTATTTTTTCCGTTCTACATTCACTCCCCACTTCTTCTCAGTTTGGCTTAGTCTGGGGGTCTTTTTTGGGGAGTGGGGACATAGGAGAGGGAGGTGAGGATCCGTAAGAAATACGTTGCTGGTAATGTCACTTTCTAAAGGGAAATTGCATCTTTTTGTACATCTTACTTTCCATTTTTTTTTTTTACTACCGAGTGGTTGCTGCAGATCTGAGGTGAACCAAATAAAGACTCCTGCTCCTTGCAGCTCAGAGTCCTCCATGCTGGGACATGGGTTTTATAGTTGTGTTTGTAATTCTTCATAAGGACCACAGATTTTAGTACATTCTGGTAACAGCATGACACAAAATGGTACCTACATTTGGTTACACACACACATGTGCGCGCATGCGTGTGCTGACCTGGGAGGCACTCAGATAAATGTGTATGCCGCCCGGTGAAAGCAGGAGGGGCTCACACAGTGACTGGCTTGGGTCACGTCACGCATCTGACCCTGAAACCACAGCTGTGGAAACCAGAGCGCTTGCCCTTTCCCTGCCCACCGGGGAACTACCTGTGGGTTCCACAAAGACCACAACGTCCCAAGTCTCAGAGACTCTAGAAGTGGATCTTCAAGTGGTTTCCAAACTGCTTAAGGACCGGGCAGCTCAGCAGGCATGAGTGCTTCCGTACACCTGGCTGGCTTTTCCTATAGGCCCCAAGCCTTGGGATCCCCCAAGAGGTGTGCCTGTCCTACTTTGGGGCCGGGGCAGCTAACCAGCGTCTCTCCTGCATGTTCCCGATGGACGCGCATGTGGAGCTAGACAAGGTCACATGGGACTGTCAGGAAGCATGGACGGATGTGCATGTCAGGGCTGGCCCCCTGTGGGTACCAAGTGTTGACAAGTTTTAATTACTCCCAGAACAACCTCATGAGAGTCCTTTTCTCCCCTGACAGCTGCTTCCATTTGCTAGATGTGAAGTCAGAGGCCAAGAGCTCCTGAGTTGGGGCCTGTGGGGAAGGGGGCAGCCAGGTCACCGCTCCATGCCCAGCTCTTGCCGCCCTCCCTGGGCTGGGAGCCCTGAAGTCACATGTCACCTAGAAGGCCTGGCCAGGAATGCTGCCCTCCCCTCCCCGCCCCTGGGGTCAGCAGGGGAGCTTGTCTGTGCCCACGGTACACCTGCTGCATTTACCAAAAATGTGAGGAAACTTACATGGCAGGCTACCTATGCTTTCTGAAATTTGCTCAGGGCCTGTAAAGTGATTGCATAATTTCAAGCACATGAAAAATTATCCACACTTCCAAGTTTCCTCATCATTAGCACACGGGATTCCCAAAGACACAGAGCAGGGATGCAATACAGAAGCCCAAATAAGTGATCAGGAAGAGGACATCGATGGAAAAAACTTCCGGGTACCCAAAAAAGTGCAATGCCCATTGCCAAAATTGCTCTCCCAAGAAGTCCACAGCCACATTTACCAGTTGATAAACTCGTGTCTTTGTTGAAGCTACCGCACGGGCTATGAGCACGTGTACGCAAATGCAAACACACACACACACACACAGTGGCAGAGTGGGCTCCTCAGCACCTGTGCCAACCCAGATGCTCTGGTGCCTGGACTCGGCTCAGGTCTCACCAGCCCAGATGCCCTCGGTGCCTGGTTTTGGTGCCCACACCAACAGGCACCCCACATCCTGGCCAATACCTGACATCCCCACGTGGTCCTAGAAACGCTCCCTTTCACTTTTAACAGTCCCAGTTTGGAGGATAAATTACACGGGCACCCCACTTAAAACCAAAGGACGTTACTGAGAGCCTGATGGGCTCCATGTAGACGAACACCTGGGGGTACGAAGAAGATAATGTGCTGGTGTTTTCTGCATTTTTTTAGTTTGGGTTTTGGCCACCTTTCTTGATCCCCTCCTGAATCAGCACCAGTTGTGGGTGCCCTCTGGAGGCAGGTCTCATGGGCACTCAGGTGGACACGCCTCAGACACCCACAGTGCCCTCCTCTGGAGGCAGGTGCTCGCTTCCTCTTTACAGACACAAGAGGTCACCTCTCTAGACTAAGGAGAGGGCCAGCCTCAGGTCTGGACTAAGCTCACTTTCTCCAACTCCTATGGGTCTTGTCTTCCGGTTTTCTTGCCTTTTGTCTCAGAAACTTAACATAAAGGTGCCTACTAGATTTTAAAGCCTCTCTGTCCACAGCCGCGTGTGCGGCCTGACCCCACATAATGGCCAGTACGGAGCAGAGCTGATGGCGTCTCATGTGTCCACAGTGTCCTGCCTTGGACAGGATTTGCTCATGTCAGATAAGCATAAATGTGAAGCAACAGGACCAGGAGTTCAGACAAAACAATGAGGAACAAGGGTGAAGTGTGCTCTTGCTAGCAAATGCAAGGTGCCTTGTTAGTTTTGTTCCCTGTCCAGGCCTGGCCATGTGTCCCGCGATACTGTCTGTAAGAGAAGACTGGAAAAATGATCTGTCCTCAAGTGTCCCTGAGATCTGTTCTCAAGAAATGTTGCTAACTCAGCCTTAAAAGCAGAAAAAGTACAGTTGCCTTTGTTCAAAAACAGAAAAATGAAGCCGTATTTTTACAGTCTGAAAGCTCTGGAAACCAAGGGTCGCAGGTGCTGAAAGCCTCCATGGAAGAGGGTGGGGAGGACACCAGGCACCTAGGAAAGCTGCAGACAGGAGACACCAGCACCGTGTGGCGCCTGGATGGTGAAAACTACTAAGGACGGCCTCACCTTCTCCAAAACTATAGCCCATGAGCTAGGAACAGAGGTCGCTTTCAGAGTCTGCCTCCGCGTAAAACCCCCACATGGAGATACTTGAGAGGTAGGGGGACAGACACACGCTCTCTGGCGTGTCCTTTGACTTCAGAGAGGCAGGCAGCCCTGCTGAGGGCAGATCTGCGCAGTTGAGAGGAGCCCAGGGCCAGCGTAGGTGCGGAAGCCCCGGCCTAGGGCTTCAGGGGTGGCAGGCAGGGAAGGCAGAGAACAGCACACCTCATACCTACCTCACTTGTCTGGCCCCCCCCACTCCCACCTGCTGAAGACCCCCCCACACACCTCATTGCTGTGTCTGCACATGCCCTCTCCCACTGCCCTTCCATCCTGTCTGAGCCGCAAATGCCTGGTGACACAGGGAAGTGGCAGCCCAAACTCATGAAGGGCAGGAGGCCCCAAGGGACGGCAGGGCAGGTGGGCAGGGCAGGTGTGGGCTGGGCCCTGCTCCCCCTACTTGTTGCTACTAGCACCTGCCCCGACGATTCATTCCATGCCCGCTATGAAGGTCAGAGGTCAGCATGTGATCTAGCAGAGCAGCTTGAGATTTCTAGTCCCCTAAGATCAGAGTTATTGTCTCCCAGTGCTTCCTGTGCGAGGACACACGTCACAAATGAAGGGCTTTCCATCACATGCTGTTCAACCATGAGGCCAATAGCACTCCTGCCACCTGAGGGGGTCTCCTTCCCTGAACACTGTCCATCCCCAGGATACCCTACACCCTCGTCCGCCTGCGGAAGGCAGGAGTGAGGAGGAGAGCTGCCCCCCAGGCACCCAGCAGGGAGAAGAAAGGTGTGGGTACAGGAGGGGGGTAGTCAGCTCCACAGGCACGCCCCAACACAGGCTGCTCCTGCAGCCCCAGCTTGGGATCCCTGGGTGGGCCCTGCTCCATGTAGCACTGTCACTGCCACCACCAGAGCAATGTGGCCTGCACTTCCAGCCTGATGCCCGCTGGTGCTGGGTCGGCCCCGTGCACGGAACACCGGCACTCGGGGTTACTGGCAGGCGGGGACCCCCCACTGCCGAGCTGCTGGTGCCTCCAGTGCACTGAGCTGATGAACCCACAGCTGGACTGTGCTTACTTGTACCATTCACCACGTCCAAAGAAACAGCAACCGCTGTAGCCTGATCGAAACAAAACCGACGCAGCCCTCACTGCTCAGGTGAGCAGCGTGTGCACACGTGCCCTCACACTACACAGGAGACCGCTCACCCTGACAGAGATGCCTTTTTGTGAATTCTGACATAAATCGGTCTTGATCTGCGTTTTCTCTTTCCCACTTTCCCCCTGGTGCATGTAAACTTTAATACAGTGCAATCGTTTGTGCATTGACAAAAAGGGAATGTTAACTATGTTTTGATTTTTCTTATTGATGAAGCGGCTAAAAATGTTACCTCGCCATTTTATCTTTTAGCTGGGAAAAATAGCTTGGTTACTTATAAAATGAAAATTAAATACTTTTCCTTAATGAATGTAACACTTCAAATCATACCACTATTATGTATTTCACTATCTGAAAGCAAGGGATACTGTCAAGATTTAAAACAATTTTGCTCCTTTTAGTAATAAACATCATTTGAAAACTTTGGGTCCCTTGCATCATCTCATTACAGATCAGGGTCTTCACTGCAATCTCCTTCTAATGCCAAAATTTTGAGAGGGAGAAATGTGAATTCCCTCTTGGGGCAGAGCCTGCATTCCCCCTGGATGCAGCCCTGTGTCCTAGGTCTTGGGCAGGAGGGCTCTGGGAGCCCAGCCTGACATGAACCCCTCCTCCCTGAGTTAGCCCCACCAGCACCACTGGCCCCACACACTCCCCTCCACAGGCTCTGTCCCAGGGTCTCATGGCATCGCTTTGTTCAGCCTACTTTGATTTATGTTCATGGGGAGCTTACTCAGCCTTCCTTTCTGATGAGTTTCTCCCACCTCAGGACAGCTCCCTAGATATACTTGTGTCTTTCCAGACCCAACTCCCCAGTCCAGAGCCCTGGCACATGGCTCCCCCACTCCACAAGCCCAGCTCAGGTCTGGTCCAGAAGGTCCCACTCCTGCTCGGCACCAGCAAACCAGGCCCAGCACTGGCTGCACCCATGGGGGCTCAAGTCCTGATGGCTTATATCCTTGGCCACTGGCTGCACCCTAGCTTCCCACTGGGCACCAGTGCTGTTGGGTGACCAGGCCCAAACTGAACCCAGCACTGCCCATGCTCTCTCGCAGAAAAGAAATGAAGATGCCTCTGGTTATACTCAGGAGCCACTTGGGCCAGTTAAGACAACACCGGTCTCTGGTGACCATGCACACAGCCTGCTCCCTGGTTCAAGACACCCGGCACATACACAGCAGTCACTTCGAAGGCTGCTTCAGTGGACGGCAGATGGATCTCACACTCACTCAAGCAGAAGCAGGTCATACCCAGCCGCAGTCAACACCATCACCATCTCCTCACCCCAGCACAAGTGGGGGGCTGGTTCCCAGGTGTGAACCTCACTTCGGTCACCTGAGCCTGACCTCCCCTGGGTGGCAGCCTCTGCCCCGTCGGTGTGTCTCCACCAACAGCTAGCTGCTGACTCCTTGCCCGTACAACTTGGTAAAAAAACCCAAAAGATGTCAAAGTGCAATAAATACCATCTCGTATCTTCTAGAGACAAATGGAAAAACACTGAATGGTAAGGACGTCCAAGCTTAACTGGTAGTTCCCGGATATTTGTTCTATCCAACCCTACCCCAGAAATCCACCACCTCTGACCAGCCCTTTCGAATCCATCCTCCTGCAGCATGACCCAGAGAGCTGTTGAGCCGCCCCCGGGGCTCGGGGAGGATGGAGAACTGTTCACACTTGGACCCCCGCCCCCAGCCCCCTAGGAGCTCTGCTGGTGTCTGAGGGGGTGCAACCAGCAAACAGGCACTGTAGAGAACAGGGCAGAACCCAGTAACTGGGCCACTGGGCCGGGGGCTTACCGACACCTCAGCCAACCAAGGAGCAGAGAAGACAGGATGTACAATCCTCTCAGAGCCCTCACTGACCTGGAACACAGCTGTTTCCAGCTGTTCTGACTCCAGAGATGCAGGCAATGGAGGCCTCAGGCTTCATACTGGCCACTCATGCCTGTGGTGGCCATCAGAGTGTCCAGAATGTCCACTGGGCACACCAGTCACCGAGAGACTTCACAGTGGTGTGCTGGTCCTGCTCCTGGGGATTCTCATGATCCGAGAACAAATGGCCGCCTCTCCCGCTGCTGAACATCTAAAGTACGCCTTCCCTGGTGTTTGAATCACAGCAATTACGCAGCAGAGATAGCTCCTTCTCTGAAAGTTTGCTTGTTTATTCTCATTGGTCCACTCAAACTGAGTTTTTAGCATTAACCCTATAGATATGATGGCAGAACAAAAACTTGTTTGTAGAAGGAGTTTCTTTAGAGGATTTGCTAGTTCTCTTTCAACTTGGCTGATCCAAAAATACCTTCTGTCAAACCTGCTCTATCATACAATCAGTAACACACAGGCCTCTGACAAGACAGCTAGGGCAGAGCCAACACGCTCTTGCAAGGACCTCCTCCTAAAGCAGCCACACGGCAGGGGCTGGGGTGCCACGTCATAGGAGTGGGCAGGGCAGGCACCGAGGGGACCCAGGAGGCCCCGCACACCAGCCATGGCATTACCAGCAGCCATGCCTGAGGACCTTCCAGCGAGATTCCACGCCGAGTGCCCAAGGAAGACCTGGACTGCCCCAGCAACCAAGGGCAGTGCTATAAATACACCACTGGAGCCAGAGCACCCAGCTTGTCTACCAAACCCAGCCCACGTCAACTGAATGGGTGCTGTGCTGCCTGACACCCAGCCTGGCCTCTCTCCAATGCCCCCACAGTACTGCCCCCAGAGCGGTGCTCGGGCAGGCAGACACGCGGACAGGTTACCATCAGGGGAGAGCTTGCAAGTTCTAATCTGCTGGTGAGAGCCCATCCACTCCAGGCAAGTCTGACACGTGAGTTCACGCTGTCAAAGCTGGTGGGGACTGAGCAGCGTGACGCCAGGATCAAGTTAGCCCTCGTCCTTTCATGAACACCTTCCCAGGCCAGGCTCTGCTCTGCCATAAGTGCGCATTACCACTCTTGTCTGGTAGAGTCCAGGCACTGTGGGGGATGGCCTGTTCCAGGAAACAGATGGCATGCTGGTCCTGTTACTAAAAACTAAAAATCTACATTCTCATTATAACAGATATTCAAGGTGAAAAAAGGTACCAGGTAGGATTTCAAGGCCCAACTTGTGACCCCAATTATATGATGAAAACCGGTCCCAGCCACGAACCCTGGAGCAAGCACCAGTTGGTGGGGCACCATAGGCTGCCACCGTGAGGAACACCCACTCCACAGATGCTAGACAGCAGCACCATGTGGAGACAGCGGGGTCCCTGACCTCAGGCTTCCCATCCTTCTGTCACTTTGCCAGTGACAACCTGGAGCCTGAAAGGGAAAGAGCAGAGGGTGGCTCCTTTTCCCACAAAAGGCTGGCAGAGCAGTTCTGAGGAGTCAGGAATATTCAGAGGCTCGAGCACAGCCAGTGGCAGAGAAAATGCAGAACCACCCAGCCAACAGGAATTTTATTTCAAAGATCTGCAGAGATACACAGCATGTAAAGGTGGTCAGTGGGCTGCCACCAAGAACTTCCAGAAATCAAGGCTGAGAACTCCCGGCCGACAATGTACTGTCAACCAGACTGTGCGCCTCCTCATCTGGCAGAAGGGAAACCGCACACAAAGCACACCACATGCTGCCTCACCCTCATGGCACCACTCAGCGTAGGGGGGACGTCCCACAGGCACCACTGGGCCGCACAGAAGACCAGCTGTGCTGCAGCTTCATCCCGAGGCTGAATTATTTAAATCACACCCAGTGATACTAAGGGATACTAACTGCACCTCACTCGGGTTTACTTCCATCCCAGTAGGCGGGGCGTTAGGCTGAGTCATCACATGAAATGCTGGCCACGATGTGGGCTGCTCTCTTCTCCATGTGGGGCCCAGTGTCATCCAGGACGAGCTCCACCTGATACGATTCAGCCCGGGCAGGCAGGCTGCAAGCCGCTTGGCAGGCAATGGCACGGGGGCTCCTCCTCAGGGAAGGAGGGGGTGGGAGCAAAGCCTGGGTCAGGCAGCTCCAGAGGCCATCCCCCGCTCATAGCCTGGCCAGGTGAGCACGAGAGCACCAAATCTAGAGAAATCACATGGCGAGGAAATCTTCATTCCATCAAAGAAACCAAGACGGCGCTGCTCAAACGCACTCCACATACAAATGTTCTTTCAAAAACTTAAGCTTGCCGTGAGAGCACATCTACAAAGCAAAGCCAAATTTTAATAAAACTTCAGTAAAGCGTTGGAGTCTCTCGTTATCAAAGTTAGGGCTTCGGGAGCGAAGTGACCCCCGAAGTCGAGGTTTGGTGCAGAGCCCTAGGCTCTGGAGCGGCTGGGCCATGGGTCTCCTGCTGCCCCTGGTGGGCACACGCACCACACTCACCCCCAGACTCCTTGTCGCTCTCGCCACTGTCCTCGTCCTCGGTGCCCTCGCCCTCATTGCTGTCCTCTTCTGAGTCTGACTCCTCCAGCCACTCTTGAGTTCCTTGAAAGCAAAAGCACATGTTCAGAGTGTCAATGTAGAAGGGCAGCCCCAGAGACTCGTGGTGTGGGAGTGGCCCTGGCCTGGCACCTCTGCACGCTTAGAGGAAACGTGTTGTTTTCTCTGGGTCTCTGAGCAGAGGTGGGGTGAAGGTGACTGGCAACGATACAAGACCATGCTGAGTTCTCTCCTGATGCCTGGCTCTGCATTATCTCACTGGAAGACAGATGCTTTTCACACCAGCCACTGAGTAACTTTCCCCAAGAGTGTGGATTTTAACTTTATTTCTAGTCTCCGGTCTTAAAAGAAGTGGTAGCCTGTGTCCAGCAGCTGCCAGCGTGCAACGAGGCAGCGTGGGACCAAGAAGTATGGGTCAGAGGAGGCCTGCGGGACCCTGCGATGGTCATGGGCCTGCTCTGCCCTCACATGCTCAGAAGCTGCGGTCATGGGGGGAGGGCCTCCGCGAGATGTTTTTGCTACAGCACACCTCTGAGCAGTACCAGGACAGGCCTGAGGCTCACGGGAGTGCTGGAGTGAGCAGCCTACCCACCTCTGCTCCCAGAGCAGGGATGGACGTGCACAGGATGTGGCCCTCACCATGGCCAGGGCCCACTCTGCTATGAACGGCCAGAGGTGAGGGATACAGGGCTTGCCCACTGCAGGCTCAGTGGCACAGGGTAGATGTGAGGGGGCACTTGCAGGCAGATTTCACAGGGGGTTCCCGCCCTACCATGTGGAGGAGCTTATCTCCAACTCAGCTCACCGGGATCCATTTCCACCAAGGCCGTCCACTCCTGCATCTTTTGGAGATCCAGGCAGTACAGGTCACTGAGGGTGATCTGGCGGTCACCTGCCTCAAACATGCCCCCGTAAAGGTAGAGCCGCCCGTGCTTCACGGCCAGCATAGAATTTGAGCGGGGGCTCGGCTCCACCACAGGGCCACCCACTTCATCAGGGCTGTCCTCCTCGTTGGACGGAGGTTTTCCAGCTGGCCCCGGGGTGGCAAACATCTGTTTAATGGTGATCACGGTCCCGTCTTCTGTGACCACCTCTCTGACCACCTCCAGGGGCTCTTGGGCACTGGTTCCCCCATGTTCCTGCCTGTCAGGACCCTCGGGCTCTGCTTTTTTGCCTCTCCTACGTTTCCTCTTCTCGGACTTAGGTCCCTGTTGATAAAAAACAAGGCCATGCATTTTAGCAGCAGGCAGCTGTGAGCAGGCAAGCATCCTTGAGTAACATGGGTTCAAGTGTGACTCCCCCCAAGGGGGATTGGGCCACAAAGCTTACACACCTGCCCTAACCCATGTGCTATGGTTCACCCTGGGGGCACAGAGACTCTGCCTATGTGTGACCTCTCTGAGAAAAAGGTAGAGAGGGCCACGAGTCCAGACACGAGCTGCAGCACTACCCAATTCCTGGCAGAGATGCCAAAGCTCTTCAACCAGAGTGGGCTGCGTCCTCCAGCCTTGAGGCCGCTCACCCCATCAACTCATCCAGACCAGAAGCCCATGGGGAACCCCACTGCTGGGATAGCTATCCATGGTACCACTGTAGAGTGGGCAGAGGGGCAGGGTGGCCTGTTCCTGGCCACAGGGACAGTAAAGACAGAGAGCTCATATGGAGCCCCACAGACAAGAGGGACTGGGGAGGCCCTGGGCATCTTGACACCTGGCCAGAAGAACCAGCTGACTCGACAGAGGCAAAAAGGGGCAGCCCTGTGTTGGGGCTATATGTCTGATACGTGACCACCGTGTTATACACTTTGGGACCCAGTTCTACCTTGAGCTGCCCCGTATACCAGCGGTTCCTGGTGGCATCATAGAAGTGCAGGTCATTAAGGAAGTCCCCCTCCAGGCTCTCTTCCTCTTCCTCATCACAGACTCCCCCGAAGAGCAGCGTCTGATGGTTCGGGGTCACAGCCACCGAAAAGCCAGACCTCGGAGTGGGCTTGGCTCCTGCAGGATTAATCCGAGTCCACCTCCAGCTGCCTGTAGGAGGAGAGGGAACACAGGGTAAAAGGGAGCCAGCCACAGTCACATCCAGTATCACTTGGCCCTGAGTGACTGGGACAAGTGGAAACAAGACTGCAGGTGAGAGGGCACCAGGGACATTAGTTCTGAGCCCTTCGCAGAAATATAAAACACAGCCCAATATGCCCTGGAGTTTCACCCTACTGCTGAAAGTCCCACACGCACTAGGTAACGTTTCCACGTGCCCTCCACACAACCGCTCCGCCAAGTACTTCCTGGCTGTAGCTCAGAGGCCTGGCCACGAGTGAGGCAGGCAGGCGGCAGTGCCAGGAGGGCCTCCCACTGTGCCATGCCCTGGGGCAGAGACCGCTGTCTCAGGCAGCTGCTCTGGTCCCACAGCTGCTAAGAACTGCAGACCGCCCACCTGTCCCATAGGCAACATGCTCTTCTCTCATGGCAGGTGCCTAATTAACATGGTAACTCTCAAAACATGACCTAGTATGAAGCATGGGGGAAAGCCTTCCCACTACATCTAGAAAAAAGAACTGAGATTTTTTTGTTTAATGAACACTTAAGAAAAACTTAACAGAAGCAACAAATGGCAAATGCTCTACAATGTTGTGTCTAACTGTTGTTCATCAGTGCACAGCACAGGCGCAACTTTGGTGGCGGGGTAACCCATTACTGGGCCATGAGGTCAATTCGTTAGTCAGCATTTTAATGGTTTAGGAAACAGAGAAGGAAAAACACCAGCGTGCCCTGCCTGTAGTCTGGGAAGACACTTTTTTCAATTGTAGGAGACAGGCTCTAAGTGTGTACCAGCTCATGACGTACCATGTGCTGCTCACCAGTGGCTGACGGCTTGATGCCCAGACACAGAGGTTAGGCACACAGGCTCAGAACACAGTCAGGTTCCAGCTCCAGCTCACTGATATACAAACCGGGCAAGTTTCTCCTCAGCTTCAAACTGGTTCCCACTGAGGAAAAGTCCTCATGGGTCACTGTAGGGCCACAAGGCTGGCTTCCTGAGAAGGGTGGGGGAGCGGGAACAGTGCTATGCAGAGCAGTCCCGTCATTCTACACAAGACAGCCTCACGGGGAAGGCGAAGGGCCATGCTGTGGGTGCCCAAAGCAGATCCAGAGCTAGACTGGATCACTTGGGTCTAGCCCAGCCTGCTTATCCCAAGACTCACAGACAGGGCACCACCTTACTCTCTGAGCTTTAGAAAGTGAGAGCAGGGGCCACTGATCCACAATAGCCATTCCTCATGGAGCAACCCTAGTGGCTACTTGCTCTTGAGCGAGAACAAGTCAGGGAATGACAGACATGCAGCAGTTCCCACTTGCTGTGAGGGGAACTCCTGCATCCACAGTGCTTGTGCTTTTAGGCCAGGCCGCCCCAAACACCCGGGGGTGAACACTCCTCAGCTGTCCCTGCTGTGCAGCCCGGCACTTAGGGTCACGCGTGGAGTGCCGGGCTTGCCCACTCAGGCAAGGACTTGCCCATAGCTCCAGCGCAGTATGCAGGGGCTCACTGCCACTCTCCCATCCCCCTATCCACAGGGCAGGCGGGCTCTTGGGTCACTGCCCTGCTTCTTGTAGGAACCCATAGACCACCCCCATGGTCCATCCTTGACACAGTGCATGTACCTTCTTTTCCATCCTCGGGCTGCAGCAGGTACATATCTGAATGCTGGGTGCCTCTGTCCACATCTTTTTTGACTCTCTGCAAAAGGAACAGGGAGTCATGTGAGAACTGGCTAGATGCCTCCTACAATGTCCCACACAGCCCCCTCCCTGAAGCCTGTGGTCTGGCTTCCAGCTGGGAGGTGTGGGGGTGGGGGGAGGTACCCATGAAGCCTTCCTTCACCAGCCTCAAAGAAAATCCAAACTATGACCAGCTCAACTCTGACCTCATTGAGAAGGTCATAAAAAATGTTGGTATGATTTATTAACCAAGAATAGATTTTGAACTTTAAAAATTCACCATTCTAACAACCACCATCATGCCAGGAACACCCCAGTGCTCTCTTGCTGGTACTTCCATGGCTCTGCCTTGACCCTGTTCTAGGTGGAGGGGCTCTCCCAGAGATCATGGAGCCCTCCCCAGAGGCCATCAAAAAGCCACCTTCCATCACAGTTCCCAAGTGTCCCCAACCCCATCATCTTTCAATTCATGTCCTCAGACTTCGCTGAGAATCACATTCACATGCACTATGGAAGCCAGCCAGCTGCTCCCAATTAAAAACTTTTCTGAGCATCTCAAACAACAAAACACTGGTTTCTTGGCCCTGAGTCCTCAGTATCCCATTAGCCACACAGCATTGGCTCAACCAGGCACCCTTGCCCAAATGCCATGTCTGGAAAATCACTCAGCAAAATGGCAGTCCTGTGGGGAGGGATCTGGGAGTTTTCATTTCTTCTCTGAATCTATCCTGTAAATCCCTTATTTTTAACAACCTTTATTTCAGGTTAGTTATATGTTCACAGAAAAATCAAGCAGCTTGTACCCAGTTTCCCCCATTACTAACATCCTCCATTTCTGCACTACGTCGGTCCCGATTAAGGAAGTCCCCAGCTGACTCACACTTCGTTTCCCCCAGTGAGGACCCTCCGACCTCCCACCCCCAGGGGTCTCATAGACCTGTCTGCCCCAGGGTACTGCATGATGCATGGTCATCGCAAGCCCCAGGCTCCCCGCCTCTGGTGAGCTGCTCAGTTGTGCTGCATCACGTGGCTATCCTGACACTTGTCCGGTACTTCCATCAGGGCTGCAGGTAAAGTGCCCTTCTCAACCAGCACTCCAGGGGTGCATACTGGTGCCATGACTTCCCACTGCTGCTGACCTTGGTCCCCTGGCTGTCACATCCCCCAGGCCTGCAGCTTCCCACAGTCCTCTAGGGAAGGACACCACTCTACACAGCCCTGATGGCAGAGAAGAAAGTTGTGCTCCACCCCTCAAGGGTGGAGCTGGCTGCATAATTTATAAGGAATTCTGCATAGGTATCTGTCCGTTTCCACTGATTTATTTATTCATTCAATCATTTGCTTATAATTGTATGGACTCATAAATTTTTATATTATGCTCTGGACTGTAATCCAATCCACTTTACTTACTTTGTTGCTAAAACAGTTCGAGCTTTAGCCACTGGGAATCCTTTCAATGGCTCCCCGGTCCACTGTGTGGGTTTCCTATAAGCACTTCCTTAGGTTGGCACACCACAAGCTGCTCCAGCCTCAGCCTGTACATTTCTTACCCCAGGCCTGGGATCAGCCATTTCCTCAAGGAGCCCCAGGTCCCTTCACGGGAGATGGGGTTAGAAACCACTATCTGGGCACCAGAAGTGCTGGCTGCTGCTGTCATGTCCACTCCCATTCACCCACCGCAAGACAGGATCAGGAAATACATATGCATATTTCTTTTCCTCCCAACCACAGGTGTGCATTTACTACATGGGGAGAAGCTGGTTTCCTTTTGGAAAACAAAGCCAACAATTTAGCTGCCAGTGGACTGGACATGTGACCTGAATATACTATAGCCGGGACGTTTGGTTATCAGCCACATGTGGAGAACAGCCATCATCTCCAGGAAGAAAAATTGGGTGTGCGCCTCTCTTGTCTTCCTTCCATACACAACTGCAGGATTCAAGTGAGGCAATGTCTGCACATTAGTCATTCAGACTAGACATTCTCTTGCTCTAGCAGATTCGCCCAGCAGGAGGGACTACCCTTCCACACCAAGAGACCTGGCATGTACAGGAACTGAATTCACACTCACAGGTCCCACTCACTGACGGGACCTGGAAGGAGCTCAGTGACCACTCTGTTGTTAGATATACAAATCACAGCTGAGCTATGGCCCCCTGCCATCACTGCACCTGTTGACACATGTATTGTTTGCTGCAAGCAGTGGTTAGAAGCTGGTAGTTAAGGGGGCTTTTCTAGGCTAGAATTTAAGCACCTTCCCTTGAGGCCCACCAGCCAGAACCCTTCCCAAGAAGTGTGAGGTGACAAGCCCAGGGCCACAGCTTTGGTGCAGGCTGGCACTTGGCCAGGGCTCTGGCTGCGGGGCAGGGAGGGGGAGGCGTCACACTCGTTTGGACCACAGTGCATACTGGCACAGGGTTGGCCTGCCCCACCAGCTAACTCCTCCCACACAGCAGTTCCCTTCCTTGTATGTAGTACAGGGACTTCACTTCACAAAATCCCATCTCCTGTCCTCACAGGGAACAAGAGAAAGCTGCCCTGTGCAATTTTTTTGTGGATTACCCACGGCACATTCTGTTAAGGCCTCCTGGCTTTAAACGCACACAGCTAGTCTTTCCATGAGACCCAACAGATCTGGAGGAGGAAGCAGAGTCTCCAGAGCCTGCAGAGATGTGGAACTAACTCCTGCCTAGGGAGTGTGACACTCCACACAGGGTCTCAGCCTCTCTTTAAGGATGAGCACTGCTGTGAGAGGCTCAGGGTGGCTGCCAGTCACACCACACAGCAGAAACTGTGTGCATTTTACAAAGAATGTATTCCCCCACTCACACATTCCTACTATAGTACTAATGGAATCTGTGGAATCCAGATACTTTTGACAGAGATGTGTATCGGGTGTTACAATATCACACTGAAAAACAACACAACTATTTCCAAAATGACTCAGCATGTGTCTGAGACCCAGCACCTCCTCATGCCGCACTCAACGCCCTGCACTCCTATCCTCTCACCAGCGCCCTCGGCCTCAGACTTGGAGATGGACTCCCTTCAGTCTCCGGGGCCCCCACTAGACACCCAGTTTCAGGGCAATCCGACCCTGGCAAGGGGTGATAACAGCTCTGAGACCAGCGAGGGCCCTGCGCGGCTGCGCTCTGAGAAGCCTGTGTTTGTTAACTGTCTACTCTCTGAGGACTTCCCCAGCTTGTCCCCAAAGGGCAGGGAGAGGTTCCACATAGAGTATCTGCAACCTGATCAAACTAAACAACAAAGATCACGTGAAAAAGCACATTCAAGGGTCCCATGTTTCCAGGACCAGCAAAAGCAGCCTCCTCAGGACACCCTGACCAGGGCCCGTGGGGTCAAAGGAAGATATCACATGTTATAAGGAGAAGATGCTCCCATGGTTCTAAGGGGGTGGGCAGGCAGGGAGGCCCACAGCCACGGTGCTCCTGTCCTGATGGCTGAGAAACAGCAGTGGACAGCCCACAGAAACCACCCCGTGTGCATGAGACATCCTCCTCATGGGCAAGGAGGAGCTACCTCGAAATAAACCATGAAGGCCTGGCTCACGAGTACTTCACAGCAGCCAGGACTCAAACCTTTCCCTAATTGTGATAAATCCCCTAAGAATCCAAACAGATTAAGCTTTTCACTGTGATTCAAATGCCAAAGGCAAAAAAAAAAAAAAAAGGCCTGGAGAAAATGGCCCCTCACTGAAGTGGACTTGGTGTGTCCACACCCCTAGCTGGAAAGAGCAGTTGTTGAGAATAAGGCACTATTTTGATTAAATACCATATCTCTTTAAAATGGCATTAGCTTCACAAGGTTCCCTTCTGGACACTGCCTGGTTCCTTCTATGAAGCACAAGATGTGGGCAGAGGCACAGATTGTGGCCAAAGGAGCCTGTACCTCAGGCCCTCCTGACTGTCAAACAACTAGTTGAGTCCAGAAAACAATCAACATCCTCTGTCCAAAACAAAGGCTGGCCACTTCCTGTGCAGCAGGGCCAACACTTACTGGGCCAGAGGGGTGAGAAATAGAGCAGACACAAGACACTCCCCCACTGCAGGTTGGACTCCTTGCCTGCGTCATCCTGACCACCCACAGGCGACCTGCTCAGCCCAAGTCACAGGGCCCACTCCATCTGTGGGAAATGAGATTTAAAACCACAGTGAGACAGACACCACACATCTTCCAGAATGGCTGAGAATAAAAAAGACTGGCGCCATCAAGTGTTGGCGAGGGCATGAGGCAACTACTGTGGGAAGGGCTGCAACAATCTCCACCCTGTGACCCAAGCTGTCCCACTCCTAGGTACTTGCCCCAAAACTCAGTAGAGCCATAGTGATCTGTACAAGAACGTTCACAGCACCTTTGTCTGTAATGACGGAAAACTGGAAACAGCCCTGTGTCCATCAATAAAAAATAAAGAAACTGTGTGTGTCATAGCAGAATACGGCTCGGCATGAAGAAGCAAGCAACCAAAATGTGTAACTCAGTCGGATCTCAGAAGCATGTTGAACGAAGGAAGTCTTCCTCCAACAAGCCCATCTGTCAACAGTCCTAGAACAGGCATGTCGAGTCTAAGGTGGGGCACAGCAGACTGACACCAGCCTCTGGGTGGGGGAAGGGCATGGCAGATGAGGGCTCCAAGCACCCACACCCATGTATGAGTCACAATCAGTAAGTACACACCTAAGACATGTGCACTTCACCACATATCAACTGTACATTAAAAATGGAATGTTGGGGGAAAAAATGGAATGTTGAGGGATGCCTGGTTGTCTCAGCTAGAAGAACATGTGACTCTTGATCTTGGGGTCAGGAATCTGAGCCCCTCAATGGATGTAGAGATTATGTAAAGTAAATATAGTTAAAAAAAATCTGGGACGCCTGGGTGGCTCAGGGATTTAGGGTCTGCCTTGGGTTCAGGGCATGATCCCAGGGTCCCAGGATCGAGTCCCACATCAGGCTCCCTGTGAGGAGTCTGCTTCTCCCTCTGCCTATGTCTCTGCCTCTCTCTCTGTGTCTCTCATGAATAAATAAATAAAATCTTAAAAAAAAAAAAATCTGGACAGCCCTGGTGGCTCAGCGGTTTAGTGCCGCCTTCAGCCCAGGGTGTGATCCTGGAGACCAAGGATCAAGTCCCGCGTCAGGCTCCCTGCATGAAGCCTGCTTCTCCCTCTGCCTGTGTCTCTGCCTCTCTCTCTCTCTGTCTCTCATGAATAAATAAAATATTTTTTTTTTAAAATCTGAATGCTGAACTCTACTGGCTGATACGCCTGCCCCAGTATTCAGGGGCAAGTGTACAGGTGTCTGCGCTTTTCTTTGAAATTCACCCAGAAAGATGGGTGGATGGACAGCAGCATAGATGTGAACCACTGTGTGATGAAGCAAGGACAGCAGAGAGCTAACTACTGGAGGCTCTAGGTAGGAGGATGTTAAGTCTCACCTCACTAAGTCTTTTATGTCACTCTGTGTTGGAGAAATTTTTAAAATATAAAGGCTAAGAAAAAGCCTGCAGTGAGACCCCACTCCATCCCTCTGGGGCTCACGGGCATGTACAAGCTGATGAGGTGCAGCTTGTGGGCTTCAGACGCTGTGAAGAGCACCTCGTGTGGGGGATACACACCAGAGCCAGCAAGTCACACTCACACACATGCACCCAGAGAGGTCACTTCAACCTGTCTGTGTGGCTTGGAGCAACCATGGCCTGTTCTATCTACTAGAAAGCATTGTATGGTAGTCAGGGTCTGTGGCTTAGGCATCAAGACCCATCCCCCCACTTCCACCCCTCCACCCTTGCCAAATAGGAATTATTCACATTGTAGCATGTTTGGGGCTACATGGGTTACAACACAATATGGGTGAAAAAGTCTTAATATGTTCACAGGGGAAGAGATGAACATTATACCCATCTCTATTTTGATATGCAATCCTATTTGGAGGTTTTCATTCTTGTTGAAAGTGAAAGAGGCAACACCAGAGAGGAGGGCCTGTTTCTCTACGTGCCATATCCTACCTGCTTCGAGTAGCCCCCATAGATGACAATGCCACCCTGGGGAGTGACAGACATCTGGCAGCCTGATCTGGGTGTGGGCCCAGCCCCTGACGGGGACAGTCTACTCCAGGAGAACGTGTCCAGGTTGAAGGCGTACACATCATTGTAGTAGATGTAGTCTCTGGTTATCACACAGAAACACAAACAAGAAAACAGGGACATTAAAACATGAACCTGATTCAAATTAAAGGTGAATTTTCTGCCATTTGTAGTAAGTTACCAGTTTCATTACAGTCTAATTCCACATGAAAGGACCACAGGTATATATGAGTTTGCATCTGGAGACTAGAGATAATGCTAGCTCACAGAAATACAGTAATTTGCCAGGATCTGAAAGCCTTTTTAGTCTGAAAGTTATACCATACTTCCTTACAAAGTTTACAAAATCACAGCCTTGAAAATAATTACATTAAGTTACCACGTGTGTAATTTTAAGCTCATAAATTACAGAGCCAAGTGAACACTTAGAAAGGAGACACCTAAAGCTAGTCCAGAGCTGTGAGCCAAGCTGAGTATACCTGAAACTGGCGCAACATAGGCCAGTCCCTGGAGCCCAGCAGCTGGGTGGCAACAAGGGGGGGCCCATGGCTGCGTCTGGCCTCATGCTGCTGGGGCTTAAGAGGAAAAGGACTTGAATGCAGAAGTGGCCTTGGGAAGGAGTCCGTGCATGGGAAAGCAGTGCCCTGATGTAATGTCATATACAGCCACAGGCAAAGCCAAGGAGCCCGGGTCAGAATGACACCAGAATATGAGATGCTCTCCAGGTTGTTCAAAATAGACAGCCAGGCCTGAACTGCAAAACCATCCAAGGGTCTGAGCAATCCTGTCCACTACCCTGAGCATGGCACCCTGCAGCCAGTGCCGGGAAGGGTCTCCAGGGGAACAGTGCTAGCTGGGGTGCTCAGCTGCACACAGCATGGTACACAGGTGGCCCTGGCGGGCCACCCTGCTGACCAGCACCCTCTAAGATGCAGCCACCACAGGATGGCTTTTCATACATGAACTGAGGAATAGAGGCTCAGAGTTCTGAGAAGGCATCACTAAATTCTATGTTTCCTTAGATTTCACACTGGAGATTTTCAGTACAAAAGTTCTATTCCACACATAAATTCAACTGTTCTTTGTTTTTTTTTTTTAAGATTTTATTTATTCATGAGAGACACAGAGAAAGAGAGGCAGGACACAGGCAGAGGGAGAAGCAGGCTCCATGCAGGGAGCCTGACATGGGACTCGATCCCCGGTCTCCAGGATCACATCCTGGGCTGAAGGTGGCGCTAAGCCACTGAGCCACCTGGGCTGCCCTCTTTTAGTTTTTAAAAGTCAAACTGATTTTTTTTTTCTCATATGGAAGGTAACTACACAGGTAGCTTTACTAGTATCTTCGTTTTTTTCTGTCTGTTTACATACTTTAAAAACAATTTTAAGCAAGGTAACAGATGATAACAGTTTTGAAAACAGTTCTGATTTTGAAAAAGTTGCAAATTACAACCACAAATTAAACCTATGAGCTCCCAGGGGCAGGGCCCGTGCTGGCCCCACCATCTCTTGCACAAGTGGTGAATTAATTCACCAACATACCTATGAATCCCCATGTGACACACTCATGAATCCCCATGCATACAACAAATAATTCTTTGTTTTTTTTTTAAAAAGTGTCAAGAATAAATAATACATGACAATCCCTTAGGTATAAAGTTTTAAAAACAGCCTGGGCTCTCTCATCTAAAATGGTGGTAAGGGGGATCCCTGGGTGGCTCAGCGGTTTGGTGCCTGCCTTTGGCCTGGGGCGTGTCCCGGGATCGAGTCCCGGGATCGAGTCCCGGGATCGAGTCCCACGTCAGGCTCCCGGCATGCAGCCTGCTTCTCTCTCCTGTGTCTGCCTCTCTCTCTCTCTCTCTCTCTCTCTCTCTCTCTCTCTCAAATCAATCAATCTTTAAAAATAAAATAAAATAAAATAAAAAATTAAAAAATAAAAATAAAAATAAAATAAAATAAAATAATAAAATAAAATATAAAATATAAAATAAAATAAAATAAAATAATAAAATAAATAAAATAAATAAAATTAAAATAAAATAAAATAAAATAAAAATAAATAAATAAATAAAATAAATAAAATAAAATAAAATAAAATAAAATAAAATAAAATAAAATAAAATAAAATAATAAAGTGGTGGTAAGTTGCCGCACACCTGCAGAGCAGAGGGGGTAGGGGGTGGGGGGTGCCTGCACACAAGTACTCCACCCCACTCAGCCCTGGTGAGCCTGGCTTCCTCATCCATGACGCAGGAGCATAACCTGCCCTGCCAATGGCATGCTCTTTGAGACTCAGTATTAAAGCATTTTTACAGCCAAGTTACACATTTAGGGACACAAAATCACTACTTAACTTGAATTATGCTTTTAAAATCCCTTCTGAAACCACTGAAGAATTTATATCCCCCTTTCTCTATTAATAAAACGTCTTTATTCATGAAGAAAAACTGCAGCTTTAACTGAGTCAAATCTATACCACCACATCTCAATTAAGACTGGATTAAAGGGGGATGAAAACTGCAAGATGCCTAACTTGACCTTCACATCCATGTACAACTGACTTAGGAGCCAGTCATTATCAGAAAAAAAATTTGTGCAAATGGCCCCATCAGGTGACAGAAATGTGAGAGTTGCCATGACAGTTAATAAACTGAGGACTCTGGACAACCCAGGTGGCTCAGAGGTTTAGTGCCACCTTCAGCCCAGGGTGTGATCCTGGAGATCCAGGATCGAATCCCATGTCGGGCTCGGTGCATGAAGCCTGCTTCTTCCTCTGCCTGTGTTTCTCTGCCTCTGTGTCTCTCATGAATAAATAAATAAAATCTTAAAAATAAATAAATAAATAAACAAATAAGCAAACTGAGGGCTCTGCTATTTCCTAAGAGGTTAGGAGAGGGAAGTGTAGAACACAGCCATTAGGAAACACCCACCCACCCTTCTCCACGTGGGGCCTGCTCAGAGGCAAAGCCCAACGAACGGGACGTTGCCAGACAGGACAGCTTAGCACTGCATTATGATGGTGACAGACAAAATGACCTGTCACCACACGTCTCGTTTCTCTGGACTGAATTCAGGACACTTGAGAAGCTATGGTGTGGAGGACAGGCTCCCAACAAGCAGAGATCCTGTTAGCTTGGCCTGCAGTGAGCACACATGGAACCCATGATCATGGCTCTTACCAATGCTGCCAACACAGGCACATGGAAAGCCCCTCTTCAGACATCACTGCTCTTTGCTGCATTCCCCAACACAAATAAGTTAAAAATTATTTTAGCCCAGAAGCTCTCAGAGTGGAGTGTTCTGGCCAGAAGTACCAGCATCGCCTGCAAATTTGCAGAAATGCAGATTCTTAGACCCTGCCCCAGGCCTAATGAGTCAGAAACCAGAGGGTGAGGCCCAGCAACCAGACTTTTAACAAGCCCTCCAGAGGATTCTGTATCAGGCTAAAGTGTGAGAATCCGGTGTTAGGACTGGCCAGATCACTTGCAGGTCTCAGTGTAAAATAAAAATGCAGAGCCTATTACTCAATGACTATTAAGAATTTCAAGACACTGGGACACCTGGGTGGCTCAGCGGTTGGGCACCTGCCTTTGGCTCAGGTCATGATCCTGGGATCCAGGATTGAGTCCCCAATCAGGTTCCCTATGAAGAGCCTGCTTCTCCCTCTATGTCTTGGCCTCTCTCTCTCAGTCTGTCTCTCATGAATAAATAAATAAATAAATCTAAAAAAAGAAAAAAGAATTTCAAGACACTGACAGCATCCACAAAGTTGGCTCTGGTTTTAGGGGATGAGCAGCATTTTCTATGTGTATTCAGAAAGGTTCCTCCCACAAAAGGTCCACTCCTTACTGTTCCCAGAAAGAAAGATGTCCTGCTATTGGTACCAACCTTGTACTCTCATGGAAGCCACCAAAAAGGATTAACTGTTTCTTCCAGGCTACCATCCGATGTCCACTCCGACCTGAAGGGCCTCCTGTTGATCTAAAATGAAAAAACAAAACAAAAAACAAAACCCACTTTTTTCCACCAATTTGTTTCATAAGCATTAAGTATGTTTAATTTGACCACAAGTAACCAAGACTGTTCTGAGTCTAGCTAGCTGCTGTAAACATGGGGAATAAAACAGGAGACAGTCTCCAAGACCCTGGAGTAAAAATCTCTGAGAGCAAGCAGGGACTCAAGATACAGAAATTGGACTCCATTAAAACAGAAAATCTCAGCTTTTCAAAATAAACTATTACAGAATAAAACTGCAAGAGATCAAAGGGAGAGAAGATTTCTGCAAACACACATCTGACCTGCACCCAGAATAAAGAACTCTTGTGCCTTATGAGTAAAATAAATCCAATAAAATTCTAGGCAAAAGATGTGAGAAGGCTGAAATAAAAACAGGAAAGAAAAGACAAATAAATGACCAACAAAGAAAAAGATGGTCAACACCCTCAATTGTCAGTAGTTCAGTCAAGCTGAATGCACACTGTGCTCCCTACTGCATACCACTAGTGGCCAAAACCAAATGACAGGATCAAGTCGTCACAAAGCCATGAGCCAGGAGCTGGCTCATTCACACAGCACTGGGGCAGGTGTAAGATGGCAAGGCCACCACCACAACCACTCCTTACACTATGAAATGCAGTTGGCACACAATCTGGCAATGGGATGGCAGATACTTATTACTCACATATGAAAACACACGTGCATACAAAGACCCACATATACACATTTAGAGCAGCTTTATTCACAACTGTCAAAAACCAGAAGCAGACAGGAGCTGCTTCGACGAGTATATGAATAAAGTGTGGTACAGTCACAACAGAACACTTGTCAACAACAAAAGGGGAAGGTCTCCTGATACATACAACATGGACAGGTCACACTCCAAGAAGCAGGCATCAGAAGAGCATGTACTGTAGGATTCCACTTATAGGAAAAAGGCAAAAATCAATCTCTGATGATGATGGCAGCTGTCTAGGGCCAAAGATGACACAGGGACTAGACAACAAGGGGGCAGGAGAGAATTTCCTGGAGGGACAGACACCTTGTCTGTCTCAAGTATGGTGGTGGTTCAACAGGTCTGTGGGTCAGCTGAAACTCCTAACTGTCCAACTAAAAGGCAGTCATTTAAGTGAATGTGATTATATCTCATTTACATGTATATAAAAATACACGGCAATAAATACCCAAGAAAAGGGACTTCTGAGTTCTGGTTTGGCATCCAAGAGACTTGGAGTCACCACACTGTCCCAACAAGTAAAAAAGCTGAACAGACTGAGAATTCAACAAGTCTTCTTGAATCACACCCAGGTCAAACTGCTGGCCCCTGATTACAGACAGGGGAATACAGGAAGCCCACCTCTAGAAGCAGGGGCCTACGCACAGCCAGCTCAAAGAGGAATACGGGGGGGATCCAGTCACAGGGCGCCCACGATACTGTGAAATTTACCCTGGAGGCTCAAATGCATTCCCACAGTAAGCAGCTTCTGGCAGGGGTGGGGAGAAGGCACCATTCTGAAAAGCCCCTGAGCATCCTGTTCTTAACAAAGCCTGTCCTCTAACCAGAGCCAAGCTGACCTGGAGGAAGAGAAATGCCCAACTTCAGCTCCCTCTAGGCACACTGGCTCACATAGCAGGGGAAAGAAACCGAGAGGCACCTGTGAGGTTCGCAGTGAGCCTTCCTCAATGGGGAGACCGGAGACCGCACCACCCCTGCTCACTCAGCTCACCACCATACTCCTGCAGGCTTAGGTACAGCACTTCCTCGTAACTGCTCCCTCATGTCCTGCTAGTGAGAGGCCACTTATGAGGTGCATCAAGAGGCAAAAACACAGTCTGAGGGTTCAGAGCAAGCACCAGAACCAGACAAGCAGGGGTGCCAGAATTACCAGACCAGGAATTTAAAACAACTGTGATGAATACTCGAAGGGCTGAGACGACATGCAAGGACAGATGCGCAATGAAAGCAGTGAGACTGAAATTCTAAGAACCAGAAAGAAATATGAAAGAACAAATCATGCTAACAGAAAATTAGACTGCCCAGAATGGCCCCAATGGGCTCATGAGGCAAGACGGAGCTACGAACCCCAGAACCAGAGGACACAGTAACGAAGAACTCAAAAACCCAAAACCAAGGAGAACCAAGAATGGAAGAAAAACTCAGGACAGAATATCCAAGGGGACAATGATGCTAAAGGTGTAAAAGATACATAATGGGTTTGCCAGAAGAAGACAGAAAGGAACAGAAGGAAAATCTGACACAATGAGAATTTCCCCAAACTCAACTTTGACCTCAAACCACACAGATGGAGGATGGTCAGGGGACTAAGCGGGATATATGTCAAGAAACGATCCCGAGGCCTGTCATTTTCAAATTACAGAAAACCAAAGGTAAAGGAAAAATTTGCAAAGAAGCCATGGGAAAAATACCACCTTACCTACAGAGAAACAAAGATGAGAAGCAAATCCAACTGTTGCCAGAGACCATGCCAGCAAGGAGAGAGTGGAATGAAGTACAAGATGTTGGGAGAAAAACATCACTAACACACAACTGTGTGCTCCGCAGGAGTACCAGTCAACAGTGAAGGAGACATAAGACCTTCTCCAACAAACCAAAATTAATGGAGTTGGTTGCCAGTAGACCTGCCTCACAAGAAATGTTTAACAGTCTTTTAAAGAGAGAAGGAAAAATATATATATATATACACACACACGTATATGGGTCAGAAACTTGAATCTACACAGAGAAAGGAAGAGAACTGTAGAAGGAATAAATGAAGGTAGAATAAAAACATTTTTACTTTTTCTTAATGGATCTAACAAATAATTTATCTGCAACAACAGTAGCAGCAATGTGTCTGCTGTGTGTGCTTCTATACACACGTTCTTCAGCACGTTCCTGTGTCAGTGAAATGAAAGACAGCAATGATGCAAGGGACAAGTCTGCTATTTCAGCGTATCCGCATGACTCATGAAGTGGTACAGTGTCATCTGAAGGTGGACTTGGATTAGTAGTGAATGCACAATGCCAACACTAGGGCAGCGACCAAAAATAGCAAAAACACAGGCATAACGGATATGCTAAGGGAGAAAACCAGAATCCTACAACGTGCTCAATTAAAACCACACACAAACACACACACACACACACACACAAAAGTCAAAGACAAATAGAAACAAAGAACAAGGGCAATGAACAGAAACAGTAACAAACACGGCAGATGTTACCAGGAAATCAATAATCACTCTGAATGTTAATGGTCTAAATGAATCATTTTATACAAAAGAGCTCCTCAGAGTAGATAAGAAGACCCAGCTACATGTTGTGTACAAGTAACCCACTTCAAACATAAAGACACAGGCTGATTAAAAGTACACACACGGAGAAAATACACCATGCTGACAACTAATCAAAGAAAAGTAAGAGTAACTACATTTCAGACAGAACAGACTTCAAAGCAAGGAAAGTTACCAGGAATTTAAACGGGCATTACGAGTTCTTAGGACACCTGGATGGCTCAGTGGTTGAGCGTATGCCTTAGGCTCAGGGCATGATCTCAGGGGTCCCAGGATCAAATCCCATGTCAGGCTCCCTCTGAGGAGTCTGCTTCACCCCTGCCTATGTCTCTGACCCTCTCTCTGTTTTTCATGAATAAATAAATAAAATCTTAAAGTAAATGAATGAATGAATAAATGAATAAAATAATCAGGTATTACCTACATATAAAGGGATCAACTCTCCAAAAAAGACATACTCAACATGTACATACCCAACAACAGAATGTCAAACTATAGAAGGCAAAAACTAACAGAACCACAAGGAAAGACAGACATAACTGCCATCACAGTTGGAAAATTCAATAACCCCGTCTCAAAAATGGACAGACACAGCAAGAGAAATCAACAAGAACAGAGCTGAACTCAACAACACCATTAATCAATGGGATGTAACTGACACCTACAGACCAATTCATCCCACAATGGGCAGAATACACATCCTTCTCAAGCTCACCTAGAACATTCACCATGACAGACCACATTCTGGGCCACCACAAAACACACCATAACGAATTGAAAAGAACAGAAATCACACAATGTTTGCTTTTATTTTATTTTATTTTTTTAAATTTTTTTAAATTTTTATTTATTTATGATAGTCACAGAGAGAGAAAGAGAGAGAGGCAGAGACATAGGCAGAGGGAGAAGCAGGCTCCATACACCGGGAGCCCGATGTGGGACTCAATCCCGGGTCTCCAGGATTGCGCCCTGGGCCAAAGGCAGGCGCCAAACTGCTGCGCCACCCAGGGATCCCACAATGTTTGCTTTTAGACCACAGGAGAAGTAAACTAGAAGCCAGTAACAGAAAGACAGCTGGGAAATCCCCAAATACACAGAGATTAAACAAAGCCCTTATAAATAACAGGTGGGTCAAAGAAGAAATAGGAGAAATTAAAAAATATTTTGAACTAAATGAAAATGAAAACATAATTTATCAAAATTTGTGGAATGCAGTGAAAGCAAGTACTTAGAAGGAAATTTGTAGGACTGAATGAACATATTAGAAAAAAGATCTATACTCAATAATTTTCCACCTTAGGAAACTGGAAAAACAAGAGAAAACTAAACCCCCAAAAGCAAAAGAAAAGAAAAAATGAGAGCAGAAATTAATATTTTTGAAAATAGAGAACACCAACAAACCAAAAGCTGATTCTTTGAAAAGACTGATAGAACCAACAGGCTTCTAGCCAAGCTAGGAAAAAAAAGGGGGGGAACATAAATTACTAATAGAGAAATGAAAGAAGGGGCATCACTACAGATGCCATGGAAATTAAAAAGATAAAAAAAGCAACATTATAAACAACTCTATGCCCACAAATCTGATAACCTGGAGAAAGTGGATCAATTCCTTAAAAGACAGAATTTGCCAAAATCCACACAAGAAATAGACAATTTGAATAGGCTTACATCTATTAAAGATGTTGAATTAA